CACGCTTCACGAGGATCAGTCGTCGAGGTGATATGAACTTGTAAACTCTTGTCAACACTGAGGAATAGTCCTTTTTACAGTTGTGGGCTTGGTGGCCAAGCCTTTGAACAGGAGTGAGGCTAAGGGTGACCCTGTTGTGATAGAGACCTGTATCTAGTTAGCATCATAACAAAGAAATTTGAAGTTGAAAAGCAGCAACATCTTTATCATAACAAGGTCACCCTTAGCCTCACTCCTGTTCAAGGGCTTGGCCACCAAGCCCACAACTGTAAAAAGGACTATTCCTCAGTGTTGACAAGAGTTTACAAGTTCATATCACCTCGACGACTGATCCTCGTGAAGCGTGGGAAACTTTACAGAAACAGTTTGAATGTCTCGATTGCTCCAATTGTTTGACTGAATCGCAGGTTCTATGCCGCTACAGTGAAAGAAGGAACTGATCTCATGGAGCACTTGACTTAACGGATCGAAACAAACCAATCACGACCAACGCCACTTGAGTCTTACAGCTAGTAACATCAAAGAAAAAACTGACCACCCATTTTATAGGAACCGAACTTAAAGCATTCGACTAACAACAACTATTCACTTGATTCTGATGATGACTTCTGCTCAGGTTGTCGAAACGTTAAAAAAAAAACCAGTCCTTCCCAGGACTACACTCACCCGGAGGATCAGACTACACTATCACAAGACTGAGTCCACTTAGTTAAGTAAGCTTAAGGATACACGCATCTTGATTGGTTCTTTACGTTATTGGTTTTAGATCGTCGTTCACGACATTTTGATTCATTATTAGGTAAAAAAAATATATTTTCTAAGTTGCAGTGCTTCTGTTCAGTAATAGATGACACCGGAAGACGTCAAAATGCGCATGGCATGAACATTAGTGACACACTCGACTGCGCCTTCCCTGTCATTTATTTTGCTCTTACCACATTTTGAAGCCATCTGTGATCCTTTGCAGAACAGACTCGCAGCAACTCGGAATATATTTCATCTCTACACGCAACCTGGTTCCCAGGATCTCTCATCTTTCCGTCCCCTGGAGCGAGCGAGGAGGCGGGAAGATGAGAGACCCTGGGAACCAGGTTGCACTGACACGATGGAAAATTTTGGTCGTTCTGTTCACCTTTCCATTGCGAGATTATTTGTGGTAGGAAAAAAAAGCAGAAGCGTTTTTTCTTCGAAAAAGTGAAACCAGTTGGTAAATTCGATTTCAAAATAGGAGGTAAGCACGACATTTACTAATGACAAAATTTAAACTTTTTGCTATTATATTTTTTGTTACTTGTGAAAATTCTTATTTGCAAGGGGTAGGAGGGTTTCTGTCTTTTTAGTTTTTCTACCGGTTTGATTAACAGTTTACATGAACCATGCAAAGAAATCCGAAGTGATTTCGCTTACTGGCTGTTCGGAAACGAGACGGAAATTAAACAAACACGTTTATTCGTAACACGGTAAACGGTAAACTCACGGTAAACACGATAAATACCAACGACTACCAAACAAATCGCCACTCGAAAAACTTAAAACTTTCCAACTCCTCTAAAAGAAACTTATACACGTCAAAAAAAAGTCCGCATGATTTGTTGACGACATTTTAACTTAAATAATCTCAAAGCACGCGCGCGCGAGTTGCGCGCGCACAAGTTCGATAACGTCTTCTTAAAACTGGCATTTCCCTTACAATCGTCAAATATTTTTACAGGCTGATAAGAGCATAAGTCCAGAGGTAAGATCTCATCTCCAAGTCTTGCGAATCTCTTCGTAGGAAATTGGAATTCCTAAGCTGTAGCTTTTAAATTGTCGATCTCTTTATTGGCTCGGTTTCAATAACCCGAGAATGAACTGGGACCTAAACGGATTTCTCAGAAAATGGCCGGAAGTTGACTGGCGTGTTCTGTGAACGATCTCAACGATCTCCTCGTTGTTTTGACGAATATTGTCTCTCTTTTTTTCAATGACTATGTTTCACGGAAACATTTGTTACAGCTTATGAGGAACTATACTCCAGGGAAATATTACCTTCTTTAGAGGTAAGTCAACTGCATTGAATTCACCTAATATCGCATATGCTAAAATACACTCTGTGATTGAAAAGGTTGAAACGTAAACTTACATATTTAATCGTTTGTGTCTACCCCGTCGACTCGAAATGGATGAAAACAATCCCGAAGCGAAGGCTGCACAGTTTTGAAATTATTTTGTTAATGAAGCAAAACAAGGTATAGTTTCACTTTCAGTGTTCACTACACGGGCAGGGACATGATGTCAAGGCATTGTCTAGCTAGATTTCTCGGATGAAGAAATCCGTCTTTGTTAAGAATTAAAGATCAGAGTCAATCACACATTTAAGACTACGGTACTGGTGAGATTAAACTGTGCTGGCCTGAAAAATTTGCGTAGTTCTAAAACCATTGACTCCGGGATAGGCTCAAATGACGACCATTGTGTGTGTCTTCACAGACAGAATGAAAGTGTATTGGACTCTGAAATGTAGTCATTTCCAATTTGAAGGGACCTGTGTTATGCGACCGAATTTTGAATTTCAAGTCCGTGAATAAATATTAAGTCAGAAAGAAAATTACTAAAGTAGACGTAGTAAATATGGCCCTTATTTCACAGTGATTGTCACGCGACCAGGTCCTCAACGTTTCCTGACGATATACACATATAATTTTTCATTCTTCAGAGCTTCTTGGTGGAATCTTTGGAAAGTTAAGAAAAAAAGTGGCTTTAACCGTGTATTTCGCCAAAACCATAACAATATGGAAGATATTACTTATTTTTTTATTAAATGAAAGGGCTGTTTGGTTACTCGGAACTGTTTAGCTCAGACGACCACCACAAACCGCATAAATATTAATCCAAGCTTTAATAATATTATTCGGTCTGAAGGAAAACATTTACTATTCGCAATCAGATCAAACGCAAATCAAGTTTTTATCTCGTAATAAAGGCTGATAATTTCGAAAGATACTGTTTGGGGCTGCGTCGTTGGGGGGTAACGAAATAATTTGGTTATATCAACAAAGTTGAAATGGTAAATTGGCCACCGTAACGATTACAAAAGCTGACGTTTCGAGCGTTACTCCTTCGTCGGAAGGTAGCTGAATTCAGAAAACGTGACTGTAAACTTACTTCTGTGGCGGGTCGTTAAAACAATCTCACTTTACAGGTTAGCATATTCTTCAGGTAAGCGGATTTGTACATGAACAGTCTATATGAAATGACTTCTTTCTCTTTTCGATTCTTCTGAAAAACTTGTTTGCTTTTAAATCTAGGCGAGTATAGAATTAATGTCAATCACGAATCTTGTAATCAAATAAATTTTTTCACCAAGAGGCAACGCCTATTTGCAAAACGAAACAAGGGCTAGGTAGCTATTTTACATAATGCTTTTATAATTCTCCTCAGAAAACAATCACGATGAATCCCTTCTGTATACCACCCGAGATGATAACAACTCCTCCAGAAGACCACTTAAAAAAAGCCATATACGTGAAACACTTCAACATTATCGGCAGTCGGGTGAGACCGCAAATGACGTACAACAAAGTGGGTGGCGGCAACCTCTTCTTGGAATACCTCATGCGAATGTCTGTGCAAGGTCCACAAGGGGTCGACAAGCTAATGACAGTGGGCTTTCGTCCCGAAAGAGGCACAGACAAAGACTGCTCGGAAAGCATCTTAAAAAGAGGTATTCTCTTTAGTGGCGAGATCTACCGCTTCCTGGGCCACTCCAACTCTCAACTCAAGGAAAGAACTTGTTTTCTAATGAATGAATCGGATGAGCGCATTTATGAGCTGCTTGCGCAGTTTGGCGAGTTTTCTCAAATCAAGACAACCGCTAAGCGCGCCAAGAGAATTGGACTCTTGTTCTCGTCGTTTGACCAAAGCATTAATCTACAAGAAAACCAGTTCGGTGTCATCGATGACATCAAGGTCAGAAAATACACCTTTACCGACGGATGCGGTTTTATGTCAGATTCATTTGCCCAAGAAATACAAGATGTTGACCGTGGTCTTGAAAGCAAACCTAGCGTGGTACAAGTCAGGTATCAGGGTTATAAAGGTGTCCTCATCCTAAATCCCCACTTAGAAGACGGCGTTAAGGTTCAATTCCGCAATTCAATGAAGAAGTTTAGTATCCCGGATGAACGATTACGCACGAGTTGTACCACGTTTGGCGTCGTAAAGTGTTCTCGGCCATACACTATTGGCTACCTTAACAAGCAGATTACCATGTTGTTGGCCGACAGTGGAGTCAAACACAGTTACCTGAGACAGCTTCAGAATAATTTCCATT